TGATTCTTCATTTGGTTAAATTTTGTTACCTTAGTTTTGGTTCTATATTTTTCCTTTGGTTCCTTTTAATTTTTTTTGTTGTCAGTGGATCTTTATTTATTTATCTGTGGTGCTAATAATCAAATCCAGTGCCTCACACATGCTAGATAAGCGCTCTACCACTGAGCCCCAGGCCCAGCCCTCCCTCCCCCCAGCCGGTTCCTTTTTAATTTCATTTGCTTTCTTGCTGAAAAATCTGACATACTGATTCATTTATGGAATGGCCATACTTTTGAAAAATTCTTGTAAATATCTACTTTAAGTCTTAGGATACAATTGAATGGGATGAATAACTTCTAATGTTCTTTATAGTACTGTAGGAAAACTATGGTTTTATGAAATACTAAATGTATTTCAAAATAGCTAGTAGAGAGGATTTTGAATGTTCCCAGAACAAAGAAATGATAAATGTCTGAAGTGATAAAATGGCAATTATCTGACCATTACACATTGTATGCAGGTATTGTCACACTGAGCCTCGTAACTATGCACAATTGCTATCAATTAAAATTTAAAAACATAAAAAATAAAATCTTTGTCTTGTAATTCCAACATGTGTCATCTTGGAGTTGGTGACTGTTTTCTCCTAACCAACTGTTGAAACTTTCCTGATGTATTTGTGTCATTCTGCATTGCACACTGAACATTTTGAGTATTATGAGACACTGAGTATTCAATTCTTCTGGGAAATATTTTTTCTTTCCAGCAGGCTAGTTTAGTCAACAGTTCCAATTCACTTGTCAGCTGTGGTTCTAACGTCTGTTCAGTTTTTCAAACACTCACAGATCTATTCCATATGGTCAGTGTCAGACCTAAGCAATAGTCTACCCCATTAAGGTTAGACCTGTATATGTATGGATCAAGAGTGAGCCCAGTTTTGTGAAGTGACTTCTTATCTGCCACCATGCTGATACCTTTCAGCTCTCAGGAGTCTCTTCATCTTCCTGATCTGATTAGAAATGCAAGGCTTTAGGTTCTCTCTGACACACCTCATGGATATCTATCCACATTCAAGAGCAAGTAGCATTAAGATAGTAAAAGAAGTACATCAATGGAAATCCTCTTCAACATTTTTGACTTACAGTTCCCCTGACCAGAAACAAGAGTTAATCTCTCTGAGGTGTAGGTGTTTGGTAACCACACTCTCCTCACCAAAGGAATGCCCAGGAGTGTCAAATGATCTTAATTCAAATTCTGGTTTCCTTCTCAAATATCCCTGCTGTCATGCCCCAAGCATTAGTTGTGTTCAGTAGGAGAGAGAACACAGTAGGTGTGCACCTATTCCATTTAAAGTGGAGCCAGTACAAATTCAAAGGTATTTTATTTCTAGTGATTTTATCCCTGGAAGATAAACTCTCAAACTGGAACTTCCTGAATATAGAGGTGAATTCTGACTGTGACCTTCATACTCATCATTTTATCCAATCACTTTTTGCCTCAATTTTTATTAAAAATTTAAACATACAAACAAGTTTAAAGGATGACCAATAAATATCCCTATATTCAATACAAAGTTTCAACAACAGCAAATGTTTTTACATATTTATTTGAAAATATCCTGCAGTCATCATGACTTTTCAAACCTAAAAACATCTGCATGCATCTCCTAAGAATAAGGGCATTATCCTATATATCCTCAATACCATCATCACTTCCTAAGAAAATGAAACATACCACATTATCTAATATCCATTCTACTCCCGTTTCCTTAAATATTCCCCCAATGTCTTTTTATAGCTGTTTTATTTTTTTCTGACTCAGAAATCAATAAAGGATCACATTTTGCATTTGTATGACTCTTGGGTTTCTTATTCTAGAAGAGTCCACCTTTTATTATATTGGCTTTTTGAAAAGTTTAGATCAGTTGTCTTGTACAAAGTCCCCAACACTGGATTCGTCTATTTTCTCACTCTGTAATTAAAATTATCCCTCTATTCCTTATATTTCTTGTGAACAGGAGGATAAGTCTAGATTGTAGATTTAATTTTCATTAAACATTTTGGTAGTATATTGTAGATTATTGAAGTATAGTGAAGTATAGTGAAGATTATACTTCATTTTATATCTCATCAGAAGCCACATTGTCAGCTTTTTACTTAAGTAGTTTAATACATAAACAGTTTAATAACTACATCTTATTATAAAAACAAATATTCTTTTTTTTGTACTTGGTATCTGTGGTTTTTGACATCCTGTAAACAATGTACCTTAATTTTCCTAAATCATTCTATGTATTTTGAAAAATTGCATTCTTCAAATAATTTTATGAAGAGCTTTGTCTATTTTCATTGTTATGAGCTTTTTTTTTCTTAGTGCATTACAACAAATTTCAATGATTAATCTTTTTTAAAAAATATTATTTAGTTGTCAATGGATCTTTATTTATTTATATGGGGTGCTGAGAACTGAACCCAGTGCTTCACACATGCTAGGCAAGTGCTCTACCACTGCACACAACCCCAGCCCTCAATGATTAATCTTTTTGATGTTTAAATTATCCTAAATTTGAACAGTGGGAGGACCCTCAAGTTGGCTTTTGTGTCTTTCTTGATATTCTACCATTAATTCTCAATGCTATTTTTAAGATTTATTTTTTTCACAAAGTGATATTCCAGGCATACCTTATACTTTCCCTACTCCAAACATGGAATTGGTCATTTCTCCAAAGAACTCTCTTAGTGGGAATGCATTTAGAAACCAAAATTTGGGTACTAAATATATTTACTGTATTGGGTACAATATTAAGTATTGAGGTCTGTTTAAAAGTCTTATTTTCCTTTTAAGTGTGTGTATGTGTGTGTGTGTGTGTGTGTGTATACACACACACACATACTTCAATATATATATACACACACTTAAATACATAAAATTATACTTTCTGAAGAACTAAAACAAGTCAATTAAGAAGTATATAAAGTCTAGCTAATTGAACTAAAACAATTTTTAAAATAATACCAACTATGAAAGTCAAATGTAGAATTGAAGAAAATAGGCCTGGGGGAATTAAATGTTTAAGTAATGAATAGAATGTTTAGTAACAAAATGTTCATATATAACTTTACACATAAGAATTCCTAGAAAATATGTAATAAAAAGGCAACATTATATAACAAATACCCCCAAACAACTATACCATGTGGACATTAGCTGGATTGGGGTATTTAAATAGTTAGTATAAATGTAAGTACAATCAGATGTTCATAAGAAAAAAGACTATGATTGCAAGTCAAATATTAAGATTACAGTGAGGGGGAACCCTCAAAGATAAAAAGATAACATTAAATTATTGCAAATCGCATCTAACCAGGTTATAAAACAAAGATGCTCTCAGGACTAGAGGATGGAAATGTATTTATAATAATTATCACAGAACACAAGAGCTAAAGATCTCAATTTTTGTCTTAACTCTGTCCATTGAACTCCAATTCATTAGAAAGATGAAAGACTATAATTAAACTAAATGTCTCTTGGCTCTTACATGCTACCAAGTGTATAGTAAGAAATTCTGTCAAATATTTTACTCTTTGCAACAAAGAAAGTATTTGCATGACAGTCTTTCCACCTCCATCTGTTTAACTATGGTACTATAATAAGACTCCTCTATTCAGCCACATAGAACCATACCAATTTGAGATGAATACAGGAAAGCACTTTTGCCCTTTGGGCAAATTTTTAATTTTAAAAACTAAATTCTAAATTAGTAAGACTGCATTTTGCAATTGTTAAGGACTTCTGAATAAAAATTTCCAAAACTCTGTATATGAATACACACACATACATATATATATATATATATACATATGGATGTATATACAGTCATGTGCTATACAATGATGTTTTGGTTAATGATGAAATACATATACAATTGTGGTCTCATAAAATCATGATCAAACTGAAAAATTCCTACCACTCAGTGGCATTGCAGCTATACCATGAGGTCACAGTTATTGTAACATCTTAGCACAACACATTATTCATGTGTGTAATGCTGGTACAAACAAACCTACTGTGCCACCAGTCAGATAAAAGTATAGCACATACAATTATTACAGTACAGTACATAATACTTGATAATAACGATAAACAACTATTACTGGCTTACATATTACTATGCTATACTTCTTGTAATTTTATACACCTTCTACTCATAAAAAAATACTACAAAACAGTATGCTATGTTACACCATAGCAGCTCCATATATCTTGTGTTTTTCCGCATTTCTTGATTGCATCAAGAGGGCATTCAAATTGATCTATATCATCAAGCTGTGTGTAACTATACAATGCATTGTTAGACAAAAACATTGTTTTCAAAACATAACCACTGTTAAGTGACACATGTGTATCTAATTTTACTTCCACTGTACATGTGTATACATAAATGTACGTGTATATACACACATATACATATAACTTGCTTATGGGACAAAAAGAGCTTTGGCATTTCCACATGAAAAGTTAAATTTAAAGAATTTCTTTTTATCCTTAATAACTTTTTATTAATAGGAAAGCTACCTATATCGACTTGCCATTTTCATTTGTTTTGTTTATGGTACCAGGGATTGAACTCAGGGGAACTTAACCGAGCCACATCCCCATCCCAGCACTTTTTTTTTTTTTAATATTTTTTAGTGGTAGATGGACACAATACCTTTGTTTATTTAGTTTTTTTTGTGTGGTGCTGGGGATTGAACCCAGTGCCTCACGTGTGCTAAGCAAGTGCTCTACCACTGAGTCACAACTCAGCCCTACCCATTTCAGCACTCTTTATTTTCATATATATATATATATATATATAGTTATGGGCCTTTACTTAATTTATTTATAAATAAATAATTTGGTGCTGAGAATTGAGTCCAATGCCTCACACATGCTAGGCAAGCAGCTAGGCAAGTGTTCTACCATAGAGCACAACCCCAGTCCTTTATTTTCATTTTAAGACAGGATCTCACTAAGTTGCTTAGGGTCTTGTTAAATTGCTGAGGCTGGCTTTGAACTTGTGATCCTCCTGCCTCATGCTCCCAAGTCGTTAGGATTATAGGTATGTGCCACTATCCGCAACTTGAACCTGACATTTTTAGAAATGAGACCCCATGCTTATTCACATTAACTCAATGACTATTTTTTAAAGGAAATTCACAAACTAAAGCTTACTCTTAGAGATTACAATCTAATGACAGAGAAAGAAAACTTATTCAACTACTATTTATGCTTTTTTTAAAAGTGAGGACATTTATAATTTTTCTACAAATTTTAAAAAATGAAAAGTTTTTGGAAACCTTAGAATCCAATGGTTCTTATAAAATGAAAAGTCAGTGCTCTTCAATTTTCACTGGTCCATTTACCATGACTTAGTGTAACTAGCTTTTTTCCTATAAAAGTAAAAAGATTAAATCTATTAGGTCCCCTTGTTAACTATTCTCCTGATTATTGTCCAGTGAAAAGTCCTGGATTATGAAAGAGATGAATTAAAGTTCATAGGCTTCTCTCATCTCAAGTATCTCTGGTACTGAGTAAGGGAGGAGCCATAGATAAAAGATTTTCCATATTCCATTTAAAGAGTCTTTCTTTATTGTGGACTTTTTTGTGTCTACAGAGGTTTGATCTGTAACTGTAGGCTTTCCCACATTCCATACACTTATAGAGTTTCTCTCCAGTGTGGATTCTCTCATGTTCAGTAAGGAATGAATACTGGCTGAATGCCTTTCCACACTGATTACACTGGTAGGGTTTCTCTCCAGTGTGGATTCTCTGGTGTCTATAAAGATTGGATTTGCAACCAAAGGCTTTCCCACATTCTTCACATGTATAAAGTTTTTCCCCAGTATGAATTTTCCGATGTTCATTAAAGGATGAATATTGGTTGAAAGTCTTCCCACACTCGTTACACTGATGAGGTTTCTGTCCAGTATGAATTCGTCGATGTTCAATAAGGGTGGAGATGCGTGTGAAGGTTCTCCCACATTCTAAACATTGACACAGTTGTTCTCCAGTATGGAGTCTCTGATGTTCAGCTAGGGAGGCAAACTGGCTGTAACCTTTCCCACACTCACTGCATTTATATGGTTTCTCACCTGTATGAATTCTTTGATGTCTATGCAGTTTGGCTCTACAGTTGAAGGCCTTCTCACATTCACTGCATTTATAGAGTTTCTCTCCAGTATGAATTCTCTGGTGCACAGTGAGGGTTGAACACTGGCTAAAGGCTTTACCACATTCCCTACATCTGTAGGGTTTCTCTCCAGTGTGCACCCTCAGATGTTTGATCAGAGTTGAACTGCTGCTAAAAGCTTTCTCACATTCATTACATTTGTAAGGCTTCTCTCCAGTGTGGATTCTCTGATGGGTAAGAAGGGAAGACCTGTGGCTGAAGGCTTTCCCACACTCATTACACTTGTAGGGTTTTTCCCCAGTATGAATTCTCTGGTGTTCAAGAAGATGAAGACTCTGGGTGAAGCTCTTCCCACATTCATTACAGACATGAGGTTTTGCTCCTGGGTAGATTTGGAAGCATCTCATTATATCAAAATTTTGTGTAAAATCTTTCCCAAAAGTGTAATACATATTGGGTATCCTTTCTATGGGAATACTTTGTTGTGAAACAATAATTTTGTTTATAAATGAGCCTTTCTCTAGTTCAAGACTTGTAGGGTTTCCACCTCCGCTGATGGTTTTTTTGGGGGAGGCTGCCATTTGCCTAAGAGGTTTCTCCTGTACTATGCTCCTCTCAGATTTCACAGTTTCTCCAAAGTTGGTGTCCTGGGGACCATACTTAGTGGATTTTTTCTTTATTATTCCATGAGTTGTTGCTTCAATAAAAATGTCCTGTGAATCAGGCAATTCTTCTATCTCAGGCAAAGTCTTGAAATCTGAAATAAATCAGAAGATTAATGCTTCTTCTGCTGGAAAGGACAGAGGGATAATAAAATTGGCAACAATGCATATAAGAGATTTGATGCCATCTGATCTCAAATGTGGACTTAATCTGGACAGAAATCAGGATGATATAATGGAAAAAGACGGAAAGAGGTTAAGGGGTGATATGGAAGAATATAATAGATAAATTAACACTGAAAATGAAGAGACTCTACCCTGGGAGAAGTAAAATTAGATGCATAAGAACTGGCTGATCAGAAGGTATGAGGAAACAGAACAATGTCAGGTGAATCGCTCAAGTCCAATACTATGAGATTTTCAGTTTCTCATCATTTTCCACTCTGCACATACCAGGGAATGAAACAGGTAACTTGTTTTCACTTTCTCCTTTCTACCCAAATGTCACTTTCCTTATATTTTTTCCGATGCTCTCTCTGAACCCTACATTTCATAATTTAAAAATATTTAGATTGTTTTTCTTAAATTTTGTGATTTTATAGCATAGACTCATAGGAAAGTGATTATAATTTCACAGCAAAGTCTGTGAAAGGGAAAATAGTCTTTCTTAAAAAAAGACTATCAGGCCAAGTACAGTGGTGCATGCCTGTAATCCTAGTGGCTCAGGAGGCTGAAGTGGGAGGAACTTGAGGTCAGAGCCAGCAACTTAAGTAAGGCCCTGAACAACTCAGCAAGAACCTGTCTCTAAATAAAATATGAAAATGGGCTGGGGTGGAATGTGATAGTCATCATTATACAAAGTACATGTATGAAGACTTGAATTGGGTGTCAACATACCTTATATACAAACAGAGATATGAAAAATTGTGGTATATGTGTATTAAGAATTGTAATGCAAAAAAATACATGTATAATGGCATAAATTGACGTGAATATACTTTATATTCAGAGGTACGAAAAATTGTGCTCTATATGTATAATAAGGATTGTAATGCATTCAACTGTTGTCATGTATTTAAAAAAATAATAAAATCAATTTTAAAAAAATGGGCTGGGGAGGTGGCTTAGTGGTTAAGTGCCCCTGAGTTCAATCCCTGGTACCAAAAAAATAAAAGAACACTCAGATTTTAAAAATCACAATAGTCCTGAAGCATGACTGTGTTGAGAATATTTGATCTAAGTTTGAGATGTTAATTATAAAGAAAAATATGGAGTAAATCAGCCATGTGAAACAATTTATCCCTTGTGATTGGAGGAAAAACAACTTTTTCCTACTACCCTTCCATCCCTTTCCTCTTTCTATTTTATCATTGAGAAAAAGAAACATACTCTTTTCTTCTAATAAGCTGCAACCAGAAGACTATAATTTACTCGTAGGAATCGTGGGAATAATGAAAATCTGTAAGATAAATGAAATCAATTTGTCTTGAAGCTCAGTTTTATGTGAAAAGATTTACTTTGAGCTGGATTGATTTGGAATTAAAATCTGGTTTTTTTTCCACTCAATCCATGATTTGATAGATAGGATTAAATAACTGTATGTATTAGGTATGTATTTAAGTGAACTATGTAGCTTAAATTAAATGCAACTGGCCCTGAACATCTCAACAGGGCCCAGTATTTCCAAGAAAGTCATCAGACCACTACCTCTTCATGACCCGCTAATCTATAAAGACTCCCTTGTGCCCATTTCCCAGTATCTCACTCACCTGGACATGTGTCTGGAGGAGCTTCTCTTTCCACCATGCAGGGATCTTCTCCTTGTTGCAACTGGCAAATCACCTTAGGTGTTGAAAATGGAATTCCTGCTTATGTGGAAGGAAATGGAGTTTAAATAAATAGCATAAATAGCAGCCTCAAATAGAACTCACATCCCACTTACTCTGAGCCAAAAAGGCAGAGAAGGCAACTGCAGGAGGTGGAATGAGCAGCACAAACACTTATAAGGGGACTGGAGCTTTCAGGTGGTGGATCATAAAGCAGGGTTTACTTCAAAAATAACATAGGGCCCTGGCAAGGAATGCCTCTATGGCAGGGTGTTCTTATGTTTTCAACATCTAAATGTCCTGTATGTTTTGGGGATTTAGTCACTGGCCTACTGCATGGAAGAATATTGATTGGGAGTAGTGTGTGAGAAGAGAATAGCATGAAGATCATCACAACACAAACATTCACTTTCATTTATACAGGATACAACTTTTCCCAAGGTGGAAACTTGTAGATACTGAATTGCAAAAAGGGAACTCCAAGGTGATTTTCTTGCACATTCTTCATTATAGGCAAAAATCCTTACCGAGTGAGACCAGGCTGCTGTAATTCTCCAGCATCACCTCCCGATACAAGGTTCTCTGGGCAGAGTCCAGATGCAACCATTCATCCTGGCTGAAGAGCACAGCCACATCCCTGAATGTCAAAGACTCCTGGAATGGGAAACCCATTTATACTCACTCAGGACCAATCTTCCTCTATGAAAACTTGATAAGATGGTTACACTGTGATGAATAGCAAGTAACTCTTAAAATGTCTTGGGATTCTAAATATTTCAAATCAGCTACTTAATTTCTTTTAAATACCTAAGGAAAATAATCAGGATACATCTAGAGAGAAGCTGGAAAACTAGAGAAAATACCACTAGCTGAACATAAATAAATATAAAAGAATTTATAAGTCACAAAACAAATTTTAAAAATATAATTATTTAAGAATTGGAAATGTAGCTCAGTGGTGGAGCACTTCCCCAGTATGTGTGAGGCCCTGCATTCAATCCCCAGCACCACAAAACAAAAACAAAAAAGTTAATATTAACTGAATATTAGGGACTAAAATAGGAACTGTGTATGTATTACCTATGTTCAATCTCATAAAAAAATCCTATGGGGAAGATACTACAATTAAATTATTTTTCAAATGAAGAAACATGTTTAGAAAAACTAAGTTAATTTCACATATGATGACATATATTTGTAATCCCAGCTACCTAGGAGACTGAGGCAGGAGGATCTCAAGTTTGAGACCAGTGTAGGCCACTTAGTGAGACCCTGTATTAAAATGGAAAAGTCTGGTTGTGTAGCTCAGTGATAGATTGTCCCTGGGTTCAATACCCAGTGCTGGGGGAAATAAAAAAAGAAAGAAAGAAAGAAAGAAAAGAAAAGAAAAGAAAGAAGAAGAAGAAGAAGAAGAAGAAGAAGAAGAAGAAGAAGAAGAAGAAGAAGAAACAAGAAGAAAGAGGAGAAGGGGTGGGGGTAGAGAGAGAAGGGAAGAAAGAAGGGAAGAAAAATAAGTACCTTTTCAAGGTAAATCTGTTAGAAAATGTTGGAGCTAGAGTTTGAAGTCAGGTAGCAGACCCCTGAACTATCTTGTCTAAATGAGTTTCCATTCACTATGAAAATTAAAGGAATCACAGGACCTGCAAGACTATTTGGTTTCTTAGAACAGAACCCCAGTTAAAGCCCCCCAAAATACAATAAGGCATGAGCTGGGCAGATGGCAACTCTTTTATGAAAGTGCTAAAAGAACAAAACTTCCTATGTTTTTGGTGGGTATTTTGCTGAGAATCCAACAAAATGTAAAGGGTACATTTTAACTTTGCATTTCTACTTCTGGGATTCTACTACCAAAATTTTTTTTTAAATAATAATAATTACGTAACTGTATAGGGATATTTGTTCACAGATGCTTATGCAATGTGACTTGTAAATCAATGGTTGCATAGGCCGAATACTGAACCTTTACATATTACATGTATGACAAAAGTGACTTTGAAGATCTGTTTACATTAAAGAGCTGGAGACGAGGGAATGGATCAGCAAATTATAGTACATGTATTCCATGAAATGTTATGTAGTCATTAAATGGAAGGAGGTAACTTAGCATGTCTGCCATCACAATATGAATAATTATTCTAGATTACTGCCCAGGTAGAGCAGAAGTGATCACAATAGTTCTCTTATAATAAGGAACCACTAGGAGTAAGTCACAAGAAGGTGATGTGAGGATGAGCAGAGATTGACGTGACATACACTGAAGATGGATTAAAGGGCCACAAGCCAAGGACTGAGGGCAACCTCAAGATGATAAAAAGGACAAGGAAACAGATTTTCCCTTTGAAGTCTTTAGAAAGAACTAGCCCTGCTGACAGCATGATCTTAAGCCAGTGAAAGTGATTTCAGACTTCTGACTTATAGAATAAGAGAATAAATTTATCTTGTTTTAAACCACTGAATATGTAGTAAATTGTTAATGGCAGCAATAGAAAACTAAAACAATGGTGAAAAACTGAAAACAACCCATATATCTACCAATCAGGAAATGGATAAGCAAATTATAGTACATATATTCCATGAAATGTTATGCAGTCATTAAATAGAATGAGGTAACTTAGCATGTCTGCCATCAGAAAATGAACTTAATATATTATTAATTCATATGAAAGAGCAAGTGACAAAACAATCTCTATTTGTTGAAATAGTGTACACACACACACACACACACACACACACACACACACACACACACATATATAATGGTGCACAGAAAATTGTTCAAAAGAATACAAGTTGTCACCCTGATTATTTTCTGATATTTGTGGAGAGGGCTGCAAAACAATCTTTTCCTTATTTCTTATTTCTTTACATCATTAGGTTTACATTATTTCCAGTATGTA